CCAGGTGGTTCCCAGGCAGATGGTCCAAGCCTTTCTGGAAACAATAATAGGATTAGGGCTCTCTGGGAAGGGCTGGTGGTGAGTGAGAGTTTACTCCAGGCTGGGTGACTGTTGTTTGCCATCTATTTCCAGTTCTTCATCACATCTGGAGGCAAGCCCAGCAACTCCTCTGTGGGTGTGTGCAAGCACTGGCCAGGTCAAGGTCTCTCTCTACAGTGAGTTCATGGTTCCACAAGATGAAGCCTCCTGCTTTCCACCATGCTCATTTGATGACTTGCCAGGTTTTACAAAGTTAATTTAAGCTCTGCAGCCAAAGTGACTCTCTTCAGTTACAGCAGTGTGCACTTAAATGTCAGAGCTTTGCTGAAAAACCGCTTGGGTTTGAAGGAAGTCACTGTGTTCGGTAAAATCTGGCCACATTTTATGTTTATGGCCTTTATTAGGGGATCCAGCTGAGCGAGTTAAAACTGCCTCTCTGAAGTCCGGGAAAGCCCAGGACTCAGATTGCAGGAATCACTCACTTAAATAATGGCTATTAAATGTATACTAAATGCCTTGTGCTGGTGTAGACAACAGGCTTCTTGTCTTCCTGGAGCTTATAGTCTAGCAGGGAGCAGGGGAAAGACATTGAAAGAGTAAATACACAAACGGAAGTGTTGTGAGTAAGTGTGACTGAGAAAAAGGGTGGGGCCCTGTAAGTATTCCAAGGGGACCTAGTGGGCAGTCAGAGAAGGTAATATTTGAGCTGGGTGACAAGTGGGGGGAGAGTGTTCCAGAAAGATGGAATAGCAGGTGCAAAGGCACAGAGACAGGAAAGACCTTGGGGTGGTCAAGAAACCTACTTCCCAGTGCCCATTCAGAAGCCACAAGATCCAGCCTACGTCCAGGGCTGACGTGCGTCAAGTGTCCCCAGTGCCTGTGGGACTGAGCACGGGCCTCACTTGCTCTAACAAGCTCTCACATGCACCCCATGTAAGAATCAAGCTCTACATCTTGTAGGTGCTTCCTGTGCCCTGTGACCTCGTCAGCCTTCTTGGTTACTGACCCTTGGCCTTCATTTCTTAGCCATGTCTTTGGTGCCCACCTTCCCGGCCCTACTTCCCTTGGCACCCTCACCCCCGAGAACTCGCAAGGCTAAGCCATCACTGTCTCCCACATCTTTGCCTTCCACCCAGTGGCCCCGCTTCTCTGGCACAATGCTTGCTCTCTGTAGCCTCCTTCTGGTTTGGGTCTTTCCACCTCCTGCCAGCTGTGATGTGGTCCCCTTCCCTCCTTTCCTCATCCCCTGCCCCACCCAAGCCTCCATGGAAGTTTCGTGATGTCATCTTCCATGAGGCCCAAATGCCAGTGATTTTCTTTCCTATCCTTTGTCTACGATACATGTGAGGGTCTCCAAGATCAGCTGTAGGTAAGACTTCTGAGAATCTCTGTGTGTCAAGTCATCGGTCAGCAGAGCCGCTCATCGCCTGGGGACCAGAGAATGCGGGCTTCCTCTTGTTTATTATCTCAGTGTCCTTGGGCAGGGTCCAGAGGTGATGGGTTAGACATGCTGAGTCCACATCTTCTGCTCCAATGCCCAGAGACTGCTAGGAACTCAAAGGCTGCATTCAAGACAGATGCCATCACCCTCTCCATTGATGAGTTCCTTTGCACAGGAGGGAGGAGAGCGGAGACGACCTCTAGGTTAACAGGTGCTCTCAGTCTCTAGGGAGGAGCCTGGGGCACCATTCCACACTGAGCCGGGCGCTCTGGAAGGCAGCCTGTCTCTTGTCTGGTGGGCTTCAGCCAGACATGTGAGTCCTCTGCAGTTATATATTTCCCTGAAAATGGATGTACAGGAGAGCCAAAGAGCAGGGATTATAAGGTTATTATAAAATAATAACATGCGTAGGGGCTCCCTGAGCCCACATCCCTGTGCGGAAATGACTTCTGTTATGCCTGTTTCATAGACAAGAGGTTAGGTGGCCCACAGTCGCCCCTCATCAGGCACACAGCGGGGACAGAATGGACTCAGGTGTCCTGCCCCTACCCCCTTGACTGCCCGTGCTCAGACTGAAGCAGGCCCAGGGTTGAACACAAATCCACACATGCCCCTCGTTCCCTGGGCGACATCGAGGCTGGGGCAGAGAAGTCACCTGCCAAAGGTGGTGCAGGGACAGGTAGCAGAGCAAAATATTTGAATTTAGTTCTCACTGGCTCCAAAGCTGCGCTTTCAAATATTACGTCTCCCCCGCCCCCCAGCCCCAGCCCAGCCCCACCTCTGCTGTGCCATGGGAGTGCATGGGGAAACAAGCCCTGGGTTTGGGGGGCTGGGCCTCAACCCAGGGCTGTGCTGGTAAGGTACACGGGGGACGTGATCCACCTTACACCTTGCAAAGATCTCTCTGGCTGCTGGGAGGAGAAGAGACTGGAGGAGGAAGGCAGGAGGGAGATCAGTTGTTTGGAGGCTGTTGCAGAGTCCAGAGGAGACATGGCCATGATCTGGACAAGGGCCGTGGCCATAATGAAGGAAAATGGGAGTGCGTTCAAGAACCTGCCACTGAGATCACACCGTTCCTTTTACTGTGCCCTCAGGGCGGATGGAAAGTGTGGCCGCCACCCTTCTGATCAGAAGCACAGCAGATGCGCCCACTCTAAGGTGAAATGGTGAAGTGACTCTTTGAGAAACAGGTCTTGTAATAAAAGAGCTTTGTTACGAATCATGTTCTGTGTTGTGTTGCTGAAATATGCCAAGTAATAGCCTCTGTTCCTGTTGCAAAAGAATAATTACCCCGACTCTTAGTGTAGTCAGTAACATATTCACAGTATTCACAGGCTTTCATTGCAAATCTGAGCAAAGTGAAGGAAGTCAGCATGATCCCCAGAATGTATAGGTCATGGAAATGAAGGTGCACAGCCTGGGGCCTTCCATGGCTTCCTGTCTTCCGTGAGCTTCGGTGGGGATCAGAGAGATCCTTTTCTCTTCGGTACCAGTTGTGTGGCCTTGACCAAGGGACAGCCTTTAGTCTCAGTTTCCCCATCTGAAACTGGAGACATTAACAACGGCCTCACAGGGTTCTTCTGAAGATCCTGCTGAATGTAATTTGTATAGTAATAGCTGAGCTGATGGCATGCTTATTACGTGCCAGGCATTTTCCTAAGCACTGTGTATATAATCACTTTCATCTCCTCGGTAACCTCATGAGAGAGGCGCTATTATAATCCCCATTTGAGAGGAGGAAACTGAAACACAGTGAGATTGAGTGACTCACCCAAGGTCATGCAGCTAGCGTGAAACAGAGCCAGGATTTAAATCCAAGGAGTCTGGTTCCAAATCCTCTGCTCATAACCACCACACTGTGCCGCCTGCCCACATACACAATCCCGTGCCTGGCACATGGTAGACACCCAGTGGGAATGCTCGTTTCCTTTCCATTGGCTCTAAATAATATACTAAATGCAAGACAAGCTCAGAAAGTGAAAAGGCGATCAGTTAGCCTTCCAACTCTGACAGCCCGGAGCAACCAACCAGCTGGTGTGAAATAGGCGGAAAAGAAGGCATTCTCTTCCTAACTCCGGAGGTAATTAAGTAAAATCCAGAGTTGACCTTAGAGTACACTTATCTCGATGAACACTGAGAAATGTATAGAATTGTTGAATCATTACATTGTATACCTGAAACTAACATAACACTGTATGTTGACTATACTTGAATAAAAAAACAGGAAAAAAAAGCAAAGTTGACTTTATCTTGGGTGAAGACTTATGGTCGTTGGTGGATACATGTTGTAAGTGTGAACATTATCTACCAAACTGTCCAGTTGACAGTACCTGACAAGAAGCCTCTGCTGTCCACCCAGAGATGGTGATTGTGTTCCCTCAGAAGCCTCATTCATCAGCTCTGGCCCAGTATTTCAGATTCATCCCACATTTATGAAGCATCAATCACTTCCTGATTGAGTGATTAAATACCATCAGCCATGTATTTATTCGGAGAGTACTTACAAAGTATTTCTATGTACCAGGCCTTGTGTTAGGTGCTAGATATGAGAACTGAGTGAGATATGGTTCTTCCATCTAGGAACACAGAGTGAGGAAGAGAGATGGCTCACAGGTAAGGCAGAAGTCGTGAGAGCAAGAGCTTTTAGGGCCAGAGGAGGAAGCAATTGGCTCTGTCCCAATAATTGTACAAAGGCCCCACAACAGAGAGGTCATGTGGCCAAGATCTTGAGAGATTATATTTTTTCAGCTGGAGAAGGAGTGGCATTCTAAAGTGACACGTAGAATGGGCAAAAGCTGAAGGGCACAAAAGGACATGCACGTTCCAGAACATTCAAAGTACAGAGTGGCTGGAATGATTGTGGCAAGACCTCCAAGACACTGTCCCTTGACACTCAGAATAGAAGATCATTTTTCTTTATTTTCTTTTAAATCAAGTTGCATCTAGTTCAAGCTCTTAGTCATGGAGATCAGTGAGAAGTTTTGCATGACTCCCTTCTTTGTATCTCCCTCTCTCTTGGGTTCTATCAGAACTCAGGGCTGAGGACAGATGGACCAGAAGATGGGCACCTGGCTCTCTCCCCCTGGTGATCACTAATCTGTGTCCAGGCCCACGTGGTCCATGTTAGAATACTATCTCTGCTGGGGGTCTCTGCTGCTTCCTCCATGTCAAGCAGGGCGGCAGAGACCATTCTGAAGATTTTTGTTAACTTCTCCACCAGGCGCGAGGAGAACCCAGGTCTTTGGTCACAAAAATGTTTAATCTCTTCTTTGCGGGGTAGAAGGAATGGAAAGAGAAGGTGCGTTAATTCTTTGCTGGTAAATCCATGGCAACAAGAAACAAGGCACAAACGGACTCAACCATCTTCCCGCTAGAGGAGCAGAAATAAGGTAGAGCTCGCTGAGAGACAAGATGAGGAGAGCTGGAGTTGTCTGTGCTCAGGCTGATGGTCACCTGCGGTCTGGTTTAGTGGCTCAGAGTCAGGTCTGGGCACTGAGGAGTGGCTCTGTGTCTCCTACAGGTGTGGCAGTGTGGCGGCAGCGTGGAGGTCCTGCCTTGCTCTCGGATTGCCCACATTGAGCGAGCCCACAAGCCCTACACCGAGGACCTCACGGCCCATGTCCGCAGGAATGCCCTCAGGGTGGCTGAAGTCTGGATGGACGAATTTAAAAGCCATGTCTACATGGCATGGAACATACCCCAAGAGGTAGGAAGCCCCTGTGGGGATGGGATTTTAGGGGTTTGCTGGGAAAATAAAACACAAAAACAAAAAATATGGGTCTAAACCCTTCTTCCCGTGGATCAACCAGAGTCTTGGGATCCATGCTAGAGTAGACTCTCAGCCCCAAAAGACAGCACATGTGGAAGAAAAGAGGCTGACTGTGAGGTACTAAGCCATGTCTTATTCCTGCTCCTGTCCCTGGGCAGCATGCTTAAAGGAAGACTTCTCTCCCGACCTCAGTATCCTCATTTTATTTTATTTTTTTAAAGATTTGTCTATTTATTTTAGAGAGAACTCATGCCGCGCGGAGGGGCAGAGGGAGAGAGAAACCCAAGCAGACACCGCGCTGAGTACAGAGCCCGATGCGGGCCCGATCCCACAGCCCCTGACATCACGACCCGAGACGAAACCAAGAGTCAGATGCTTAACTGACTGTACCACCCAGGCGCCCCATCAGTATCCTCATTTTAAATGAGAATGTTGGGGGTGCCTGGGTGGCTCAGTCAGTTGGGTGTCTGACTTTGGCTCAGGTCATGATCTCAGGTCATAATCTCAGGGTCTTGGGATCGAGCCCTGCATCGGTCTCTGCACGCAGTAGGGAGTCTGCTTCTCCCTCTGCCCCTCCCCCCTGCTCATGCTCTCTCTCTCTCTCTCTCTCAAATAAATAAATAAATAAAATCTTTTTAAAGATAGATAAATAAATAAATGAGAACACTGGAGCAGATAGCTCCAAGTTTACTTCATGTTCCCAGGTCCTCAGCTTCTCTGCTATATAAATATACCAGAAATTACCAGAATTCACAAAATGCACCTTAATCTTCTTGTAGACTGGATTCAGGCTTCTCCATTGAACCTTTGACCAGAGCAATAAGGAATGTCCATATGGCTTTGAGATTTCTTGAACCACATGCCCGAGGAGGGGATACCCTCTCACAGGGATCCTCAGGAGGAGAAGGGAACTGTTTGGGACATTTTTAGGCTGTTTCTAACCTTCACAGAATCTCATCGTTGCCTGCGACTGTCCTCTATCCCTCTTGTCACTAACACTTACGAAGTGCCAGACAAAAAGCACTGTTTCTCTAGTAGATTTGTTCAGCCTTGCCATGTGTCATATGGAAATGACCTTGGACCACTGAGTTGGGAGAACCCAACAGATGCCAGCCATAGGATCCCAACCTGCTTAGCAGCCTGTCTGCCTGGAGATCACTGCTTATGTTGCCGTGTCTATCTGAGACAGCTGTTGACTGCATGACCTCCTTCTTTCCCCTTGGGAGTCCTTTAAGAAGCTTTAGTTCTTTCTTCCTAATAGGGAAGTGGTTGATTTTTGCCTGAAGTTTCCATACGAAGGCCCTGTTCCCTGATCTCTCCACCCAGCTAATGTTGCTCTGGCTGAGTGACTGAAAAAATAGGCTGGGCCATGGGCGGGAGCTTTTAGGCAGCAGCCCCCATCACCACCACCATCATGGGGGAGGAGGCTTGGGTTGGGATGTACACTCCCACAACCAGTGACATTTCAGCAGTAGAGAGAAGAATAAGGAGCCAAGAAGTATCAGCCAGGGTGCGGGCAACCCTAATGAACCAGCCCCAGGAATGCATCACTGACAGAGGGAGTGTTTCTAGGGAAACAGCAGTGCCTTCTGGACCCATCTGTGGCTGTGGGCGTTGGATCACAGTATTCTGGGGAGCATGCTGAACACCTCTGTGGGTGTCCTCTGATAGCAAAATGTTAAGAACGCTTGGGAAAGTCCCCCAGGAACTTAGCAGGAAAGCATCATAGATCCCCAGTCCCTTAGCAGAGTTCTGTCCATACTCCTGTCACCTTCTCTCTGCACCCCAAAGCTGAAAACCTTTTAGACTTCTCCCCTCATTGTGGCTGCTGGATGTGGAAATGGACGGTACATCCAGTGAATGGCAGAGAACCAAGTGAGAAAAGTAATTAGAAAATGATGAAATTTCATGTGTGTCTGTGACACCTCAGAGGGGTAGTTCAAACCCGGTCGACTGGGTGGGAAGAGAGGGCAGTGAACTCAAGAAAGGCAGATGAGGGGTGGGAGTGTCCAGAATAAAGCCTCAGGTGGAAAAGGAAGAGGTCAGTGTGTTTTCAAAAAATCTATCCCTTGACTCCACTGTTCCCTGCTTCGTTTAGATTCTCTCTCCTACCTCTTCTCAGGCTTCTGGAAAGAGTCAACACCTTTTCCGCTCCATTCACTTCTCAAGTCATATCCCAGGATTGCACCAAAACTGCTTGTGACAAAGCATCCAAACTGCTTAATGGACATTTTAAAGTCTTTAACCTACAAGATCCCACCTTTCCCTTGAAACTCTGTACTCACCTGGCTCCATGATGCCACAGCCCAGTATATCCCCATCGCTCTCTGATTGCTCTTAATTCCCTTGTGGGCAACTCTCACCTCCCTCGGATGCTTAAGTGCACCCAGGGATCCATCCCTGGCCAACTGCTCTCATTAAACATCATCTCCCTGGTGGCCCCATCTGTTCCTGGGTGCTTCTATCTGTTGATGACTTCCTAACTAAGATCTCTAGCCCTGACTTTTGCCTTTAGTTTCGGACCTATAGCTGCACATCTCCTGGTGCTCCCTTGGGCACTTTAGACTGAGTCTGCCAAAACGGAGAACATCCTTCCCCCGAGAGCTGCTCCTGTTCTTCCTCCCCACCGCAGTTTAGGATACCACCATCTGCCCAGATCTACAAGCTTGAAACTGACCATCTTCCTTTGATCCTTCTTTCCCTCAAGCCCCGTTCCCAGCCCATCACCGAGCTCTCTCCTGTCCATTCCTACCCCCATCACGTCTGAGTTCAAGCCTTGTCTCTTCCTCTGCAAGAGCCTTGGACTGGTTTCCCTGGCTCAAGCCTTATCCCCTTCAAATCTATCCTCCAAACGACCCAAAGTTATCTTAAAAACAAAATAAAACAAAAAAAAACAAAACCTCACAGCAACCACATCATTGCCCTGCTTAAAATCTTTAAAGGACTCTCCACTGTGCACAAGATCAGGCATTAAGCCCGCTGTTTGACATGCTTTCTCCTCTGCCCGCCTCCAGCCCCCTGCCCCCACCCGGTCCTGGATTTCCGTGGACTGCACAGCCACTGAGAACTCCAGAGTCCATTCTTTCTCTCCTCTGTGTTTGCTCATTTTGTCCTCTCTGCTTGGAATTCCGTACCCGCTGCCTCTTCCCCAGCCTCCACCCTCACCCATTTCCCTCCACCCTATTAGACTCAATGCCGGTGAGCCCTCTTCTAGGAAGTCAGCCTCAGGAGGAGAAGATGCCCCCTTTGCCTGCATGTTTCTGTCATTGCATCATCACTCTGTAAAAAAATGTTCTGTTGTGTAAAAGTCCCTCAGTCTCTCTCTCTCTCTCTCTCTCTCTGTCTCATTTTCTCATTAAACCAGGGGCTCTCAAATCTTTCAGAACTTTAAAATCACTTGTGCTCCAGCCCCAGAGATTATGACTTAATTGGTTTGGAAGGGGACCAGGGATCATTTTTTGGAAAGCTCTTCAGGGATTCTAATGTCCATCCAGGGCTGAGAACAACCGCATTAGACTCCAGGCTTTCTGGGGACAGATTGTGTTCTTCACTTTTGTGTCACCAGGCCTCGCACAAGGCAGGGCACATGGTCAGAGCTCAGTAAAACCTCGCTGATGCTTATTAACAAATGGATCTGCTGGCAGTATGCGTCATTCCTTTCTCCCTTGGTCAGTGGCTCCTAAAAGCACATCTGCAGACCGACTGCATCAGAATCACCTGAAGAGCTTTTTAAAAATACTGCTTCTGGGTCTCATCCTTAGAGATTCTGATGAGTAGGTGCCTAGTGTTGCCAGAATCTGTTAAAAACTTTCTGGGTGGTGGTCTGGGGCTGCCAAGTCTGAGTAATACTAGTTTAGCTCATTCTGGTAGTCCTTCCAAATTCACCTTGAGCATCACCTACTCCAGGAAGCCTTCTCTGACTGCTCACCCTCTCTTGCCCGCCGTCTTGGCTGCCCCACTCTCCCTCAGCGTTCTGCTTCCCTGCGTGCTCCACACTGTGTGCAGAGAGACTGTTTATTTATCTGGATCTTCCAGATCTTCCTCTCAGGCAAAGTCTGTGCCTTCTTCCTATTTGTATGCACAGTGTCTAGGATAACAACTGACACGTACTGAAGATGAACTGACAAAGAAAAAGAGGGAGGAAGTGTGGGTGCTACGTGGCCCCATGTTTTCCCCAAGAGTGTCCCCAGCTGCCCTTGATGGAGTGGTGTCCCAATACCTTGTGCTCAACCACAAGCACATCTGTTACCTGTTGACTTCACCTTTTGTCTACAGCATCCCAGCTGCAGGTATAGAGCTGGACCCCTTCGACCCTGCCCAGTGGTTACCTTGAGAATTAAATAAGCTAGTATATGTAAAGACTTTGATCAGTGCTCGGCCAATAGAAAAAGCACCAGCTAAGTATTAACTCTTGCTGTGGCTGACCTTGCTTATGCCCGCTGTCTCCCCAGCCCAGCTTTAAAATGTCCCTGCCGGGCCACCGGCCTCCCCGGTTGCCTTCTGTGCCGAGTCCTCCCCAAGCTGTGTGCCAGCCAGAGCCGGCTCTCTCACCCACCACGTTCAGTCCCAAGCTTTTGGAAGGCCAGAGAAGTCCCAGCTCTTGCATCCCCCTCTGCTTTAATTGAAAATCAGGTTGCTTATCAACAAACGGAAAGTCGGCCTGCAGCAAAGCATCAGCATTTTCTCACACAGGGTTCGGGAACTCTAGACCCACCCCTGCTTCCTCTTGCCCAAAAGCTGGCTGCATGCCCGGGATGACTCACCATGGGGCAGAGGTGACGGCCCTTCTTTAGGTTTGGCTACAAGAGATTGTACGTGTAGCCGCACACACAGGCAGGAATACCGGACAGCTTTTTGTGTAGCTGAGTGTATTCGTTTCCGGGGGCTGCCATAACCAATTACCACAAATCGAGTGGCTTTAAACAACAGATTTTGATTCTCTCAAAGTTCTGGAGCCCAGAAACCCAACATCAAGGTGCTGGCAGGGCTATGCTCCCTCTGAAGGCTCTAGGGGAGGATATTTCTTGCCTATTCCAGCTTTTGGTGCCTCTTGGCATTCCTTGGCTTGAAATGCATCACTCCAGTCTCGGCCCCTGTCTCTATGTCTCTGTGTGTTCAAACCTCCCCCTCCTCTCTCTTATGAAGATACTGGTCATTGCCTTTAGAGCTCACCCTAAATCCAGACTGATTTCATCTACAGATCTCTAATGAATTCCATGAGCAATGATCCAATTTCCAAATAAGGTCACATTTGTAGGTTCTGGTTAGACACAAATTTTGCAGGAGAAGCTATTCAACCCACTAAGTATTTGGCAAAGGAGGAAGATATGTTTATTGTTTTTTTAATAATAAGGGCCAACATGACCTTCTCTGAGAGAGTTTGCTTATTTCTCAATTTCTTTTTTTATTTATGCAACATATAGTATATCATAAGTTTTTGTTGTAGTGTTCAATGCGTCATTAGTTGCACATAACAGTTTCTGCCCCCAATCTGAAAAGGGTTTGATGCAATTTACAGTAAACACACGGTACAGATGTGCTGAACCATTAAAGCAGAAGGGCAAAAGTCAACTAATAAATAGGAAGAGGACAGGGGCATGATAAACAGAAATATAAGCTGAGCAAAACTCTGATCCTGGAGTCTCCTAGAAGTTAAAGTAGAAATGGACTTCTGATGGACAGTTCTCCCACCTTCCATTAGATCATAAGGAGAGAGAGCAAACTTTCCCTTGATCCTGAGCATAGAAAGAAAGTTTTCCCGTGGGAACCCAGAATTTAAGAAAACACAGAGGCCTTCCAGAGACAGGTTCTTCTAATGGCTTCCCATAAAAGCTGAGACACAGTGTTAGTTTGTTTTCATATAAAGGCAATTAACCGTGAAGGGGGAAAGCCTGGGTCCCAGCAAATGGTTTTGCAATATAAGGATAAGGTACAGAGAAGTTTAAAGGGCTAATACTTAACAGATCCCTTGGGGTAAAGGGTGGGGGTAGTGAGTAGGTCACATTTATTGCGAGTTGCTATGTGTAATACTTCATAAATACTTTCTCAACCCGGTCTCATCCATATAGCTCAGGTTCAGCGGTAGGTCAGAGGTACAGAGATCAACTGAACATGTTTCCTGAATCCAGCAGAGAAAGACCAAGTAGCAGTTGCTAGGAGGGCTCTGGGCAGGAGCCGAGGAGTAGGCAAATCATAGATGAGGCCATCAAGACCTCCTCAGAAGGTAGGTCCTCGCTGACATTGTACCTTTACAGTTTGTAACTTAAACCTTTGGGCCGTAGCAGGTTCAAATTTTTATATTGCCTAAATTCTGGTAGGCAAAAATAAATGTATTTCTTCTGTTTGTTGTTACTCGAGACCCCATGATCTAATACCAAATATTTTGTTCCCATTACATGCACATACGGGCATCAGCCATCTTTGTGATTTTTCTCAGACGCTTCAAATGTAAACTCTGTCCATTTCATTATCTTCCCAAGCCCAGGAACTTGACCCCTAGTTGATGCTAGAACCTAGGGGTTCACACAGCCAGCACATGAGCTGTGGCATCAGTGAGAGAACTGTGTATCTCCCCGTCCTCCTCTCCCTGCACTCTGGGCTAGTGTCTCGTGAGATACCACAGGACCTAGCTGGTCCCTGGCTCCATGGTGTCATCCTCTGAGATGTCACTGAGTCTCCATCTGATCCCCAGCTGCAGAGACTCCTTGCTGTCCTCTGCTGTGGCATCAGCTCTTCTTCAGCTGGTTCTGTGCCCTGTCCAATGGCTGGTGTGCAGGCCCAGGGACTCCATGTTCTCCCCTCTGCTCTGGGACCACGAGAAACGTGGGGGCTTCTCCCTGTCTCTAACTCAAGGACACATCCATGTCTCCATTACTACTCCTTGCCTGCTATACTGTGATGGCTCAGGGGCCACCTCTCTGATATCCCCCGGAAGTGACAGACACAAGTACTCTCTATACTGAGACCCCCAAGCTGAGAGAGGGTCTGCTTCTCCCACAAGAACTTGGGTCTTAGGAGGCAGAAGGGCAGGCTCTTCCAGATGCAGAGCATAGGTTAAAAGTGCAAACTCTAGACCCAGGTTGATGGGGTTAAAATCTCACCTCCACCTTTTATCAGCTGTGGGACTTCGGGCAAGAAGAGGTCGCTGCTGTGAATTGTGCAAGACTGTTGAATCTCAGATCTGTACCTCTGAAACAAATAATGCAATATATGTTAAGAAAGAAAAAAAAAAGAAGAAGAAGAAGAATGTAGCAGGAGGGGAAGAATGAAGGGGGGGAAATCGGAGGGGTAGACGAACCATAAGAGACGATGAACTCTGAAAAACAAACAGGGTTCTAGAGGGGAGGGGGGTGGGAGGATGGGTTAGCCTGTTGATGGGTATTGAGGAGGGCACGTTCTGCATGGAGCACTGGGTGTTATGCACAAACAATGAATCATGGAACACTACATCTAAAACTAATGATGTAATGTATGGGGATTAACATAACAATAAAAAAATTTAAAAAAAAAAGAAGAGGTCACTGAACCTCTCTTTGTCTCCCCTCGGCATCTGTAAAACAGTGCTCCCTATAGGTGTAAATGGGCTGCTGTGCATCATTGGAAGCACACAGGCAGGTCTCATGCAGGACAGAACCTCGTACTTCGCAAGTGCTCTACAAGCCTTTGCTGTTACAATGGTTAGGAATGGTATTTGAATTACTATCACTCCATCTTCAACTCTCTCCTTTCCCTCTCCCCCCCCACAGCTCAGAACCTCTCGTCTCATATCATGAGATAGAAAAAACCTCACTCCAAATGTATGCTTCGGTGTCTTTCACCTACACCTGGGCCCCAGCTTTTTCTTTTTTTTTTTTTAAATTTATTTTCAATGGCCTTGGATGACATTCCCCATCAGTGCTGTCCTCATGTTCCACTGTCCACATGGGGACAGTGCAGGAAACAAATGAGCTAAGTCCCCATGTCCTCCCTTCACTAGACAGTGTCCAGGAACCTGGGCGGGGAGGTCTGGGGAGAAGCTGCGCCCTGCTGGTGGCTGGAGCTCTGCATTTGCATGCCCATGCAGGACTCGGGGATTGACATCGGGGACATCACTGCAAGGAAGGCTCTGAGGAAACAGCTGAAGTGCAAGACCTTCCGGTGGTACCTGGTCAGCGTGTACCCAGAGATGAGGATGTACTCGGACATCGTTGCCTATGGGGTGGTAAGGAGCAGCCCCCTGGGGCTTCATGCAGACACAGAAAGCAAGGCCAGACAGAGACCTAGAGTCAGGGGGAAGGACAGAAGGAGCCTTCAGCCTCCCATGTAGGACCTCCGGTAGACCAGTGGACCAGAGGCAGCCTCCCATGTGGGACCTCTGGTAGACCAGTAGACAAGAGGCAGTCTTTGGTGTCATAGCCCGAACCTCTCTGTTCCCTTGTTCTAAATCTCTCCTTTAGAGTCTTAAACAATTTAGCTCTAGCCTCAAACCTGCATGTTCTACTTAATAAAACAAAAACCTGCAGTTAGGGCAGACATGCAAGGTAATATAACGAACACCCACTATTCCCCCAGCATGGGTACCTGAGGTTCTAGCAACCAGCCTGCATGCCTCCGCTGGCTAAGGGCTTATGCTTTCCACTCACACACACGGCCTCCAGAAAAGGAGCTCTGGGACACAGCCTTCTTGAGTTCACTGTATTTTGAGGGATGTTTTAGGACCACCTATTGATTGGCACAGAGCAGTCACCCCGATGGAAAGCAGAGCACAGGGTTTGGATCCAGACAGACCTGGTTCCAATCTTGACCAAGCCACTTGTCAGTCAAGTGTCTTAACATATATGGGCCTCGGTTTCTTCCTCTGTTAAATAAGGGACAAAATAATACTGTGCTCCTAGAGTAGAAAAAAGTCTAAGATATATAAATATCTTATATATCCTGACAATTTGTATGTTCTGTCTAAGGTTAAAATGCTTTGAATATTATAAACTCTACTATTCTTCCAGTGTTCCCAGGACCATTCAACTCTTAAAATATTTTCAATGATACCTGATTGTTTTGTTTTTTTTGTTTGTTTTTTTTTTGATATCTCACCTGGCTTTTGCTTCCTGAACACATGGAGGTTTTCTGCTGACAGTTATAAGCCCTCAAAACTACATAGATTACTGATGCCATGTTACAGATGGGGAAACAGAAAGGCAAAGTGACCTTCCCATGTTCACATAGGTCATCAGCAGAGAAACTGAGTCTAAGACATCAGCTTCTGATATCATTCTGCTTCCTCCCTTTGGAGAGTATCCCCTCAGACCTTTTTGATATCCCAGGAAGAAACTCGAAGGAAGAACTGTGGCTTCTTCCTTGGATAAGCTCTGGTCAGAACCGAGTTCAAGGCCTGCCTCAGCAGGAATATAATGGGCAGAGCATCTGCCTGGGAGGGGAAGAAGAATGCTAGCTGAGGACTGGCCTCCATGTTCTCTGCGGGCCTCCCAACTCTGACATCCTAGAATTCTACAGGACACAGAGCCAGGATCCCAGGAATCCCCCCCACCCCCATCAGACCTGTGTTGTCTAGCAGGCCAACCTGTAGGAAGGAATCATATCCTCCCACAAGAATTTCCATGGCACGGTTGACACGTTCTGAACTCAGTGGCCCCTTCCCTCTCTACTTCTCAGGCTGGTGTAATTTGGGTGCCAGAAAACTTCTCAGCTGGTGCCACCCAGCTATTACCTGAAATTCCATATCCTGTTGTCCCCATGGAAACACACTGGGCTGTGAAGTGCCCATCAGCCCCATCTCCCCCCCCACCCCAGGGCCTTTCTGAGGACACAGCTGTTACTGGTGCCCCCAAACGCTGCCCATAGCAAGTTGTGTAGGATGCTTGGCCATGGTTGGACCCAATCCAGAAAGGATGGTTATGCTGCTGTGGCTCTGGAGAAACCATTAGCCCAAAACCCCTGTGAGCCAGGACCAGCTTCTGGATTCATGTTCTCACCAGGCTGTCAGCTGTAGCTGAACAGTATTAGCCACAGTGGGAAAGCAACAGTGGAGGGGTGTGTGTGTGTGTGTGTGTGTGTGTGTGTGTGTGTGGCCATTGCCGTTCTGGGTCTTGGCCAAAGGCATTCTTGTCTTCCAAGCAAGGGGGTCTCATCTTAATGACACGTACAACAGGTTTACCATGTAACCCTCTTACCGCCACACCCAGAAACCTTTAGCCGATCAAATAGTAAGTGGTATATACAGGGCTGTGATGTGGATCTGGCTGAGTCCATAGTTCGAGCTATTTTTACTCTGATGGGCTGAAAAGCCACTCTCATCATCCCAAAGAACTGAGCCGTGCTAGCCATCCCGGGGCAGGCGGCGGTCTCTGACCCCCCGTATGTTCATCCGCCAGCCACTGCTCGGGGCCCAGACAACCTCCCCTCCCTTCTGGCTCCTCCACAGGCTGGCCTCTGACAGAGCAGAGCCACGCTTACTTGTCAAGGAGCATAATGAACTCTTTTTTTTTTTTTAAAGATTTTATTTATTTATTTGACAGAGAGAGACACAGCGAGAGAGGGAACACAAGCAG